GGGGTATTATGTATTTTCCAGGCACATAGTTCAATTCTTTACCACAATCAAGTAGCTATTTTACATTCAGTTGTTATGAAAAAAGCTGTGTATATCAAAAACWAATTAGCCTGTCTWAACACCTAGAAATTGGCCTCTGTCTCTTTAAGAACCTCCTACCATTTATGACACTCCCACTTCAGCTCGTCTTCAAAGCAATGCTTCAGGGGAGGGGTGTGCTCTGGAGATTGAGCTCCAGGGAGGAGCTTTGGGTTAATAGGCGGAGTTTTGTACCAGCACATGTTTAGGCAGCTCCACGTGGCTACAGGAGATTCAGGGATTTCTCAAACATGATGAATGAGTCAAAGCAACGCTGGGTATGTTTATGATGAGGGAMTGACAACGTAACATGAGATAAAGCTCAAAAAGTCAATTTTGCATTATAACCCATTATAACCCATTATAACCCACGTTAACATTTAAAAAACAAAGACTGATCAATATTCCTTCAGGTCTTTCAAAGTTTGTACATAACCCCGTTTGAGATTTCCCTCCTTTTTTTTGTTACAAATCATCACAAATGATTTCTTACAGCAGCAACTGCTCTACCCCCACCCACCCCSCAGTAGAACTCGGGGTCAATCTGAGCTTTTTCTAGCTTCTTTCATTCACAGAGGAAAGGAATCACACATCACTGAGCTTCAGATCGACGCAAAGAAGGAATCCGAAARCAGAGTTTGTTTGAGCTGTGGTTCTTCTGGTGCCAGAAATGTGGCAGCCGGGAACACCTCACTCACACACACACACACACCTGAGGTCAGAAGTGCAGCAACCAATCACAGACCAATGAGCACCTCGTTTGTTTTAAGGAAGACACTGACCCACAGCCTTTAAAAAAATGTCTAAATTCAGGCAAATGTCCGCTCAGTCCAGCTCAGAGGGTTTAGTTTGGCTCAGTTTTCACGCTGCTTTTTTTCTCTCCTCTGACTCAGGAGGTTAAATTGTGTCAAAGTCACTGAACAGTAAATTGGTCTTGGCCAAAAGGGAGTCTGCTACTCCAGAAAAAAGGGCAACTCTTTCTCTTGAAAAGTGCCTCAGAAAATGTCGAATTGTGTTCTCCGTGGGTCTCGCCGTGTGTGTATTGACTGGCGTACAGCACAGAGCAGGCCTGTTTGAACGGGATTTTGTACAGTTTGTTTTTCGATGAAAAGGCTTTCTGCTGCTGACACYGTATTTTTGTCTGCTGAGGAGAAATCCCTCCATCTGGTCATGGGTCTGATTAAAGGCGATCATTATGGCATCAGTGCACC